ACGTCTTACGTTACGTCTTACGTTACGTCTTACGTTACGTCTTACGTTACGTCTTACGTTACGTCTTACGTTACGTCTTACGTTACGTCTTACGATATAATTTTGCTGTCAACAAATAATTGTGCTGACACAGCAAATAATTTTGCTGACACAGCAAATAATTTTGCTGACACAACAAATAATTTTGCTGACGGCAAAGCAAATAATTTTGCTGACACAACAAATAATTTTGCTGACACAGCAAATAAATTTGCTGACATAGCAAATACTTTTCGTGGCAAAGCAAACGATTTTTCTGACTGAGCAAATAATTTTGCTGACACAACAAATAATTTTGCTGATACAGCAAATAATTTTGCTGACACAGCAAATAATTTTGCTGACACTAGGTAGTGCAACAGGTGGGCGGAGAAGAACCACTTTTTTGGGACCACTGATCCCCCTATCCCCCCCTCTCTCCCTCTAAAAGCTTAATATGTGGTTAAAAATGCTTAATATTTGCTTAATATTAGTTTAAGTAGGTGTTGTACAAGCAGTGATACTGGAAGTATCATCTGCTAAAAAATCTTCTGGTGAGACTTCAACGCAGGGATATGATGCTTATTCACTCAACTCGATCCCCCTTCCCCTTCCTTACAAACACGCGCGCACACGTACACGCACGCTCACACGCCAAAGCCTCGCCCCCTCGTTTCACCCCGTCCCGTACCGCGCGTGTCAGCTCGCCCCGCCCCGCCCCGCCCACCCGATCACCTCTGCTCCTCCTGAGAGCCACGCGCCGCAATCAGCCGAGTGGCGCACGGCGGTGGCGGCGGCCCGGGTAGGGCGGCCCCGAGGCCGAGGACGGCGGCGGCCCGGGCGGCTCGCTCCTCTGGGATGGGGGAGGGGTCGCCGACAAGGGCGCGGTGGTGAAGGTGGTGGTGGTTGACGTCCACGAGAGGGGAAGAGCGAAAGAGAGGGAGAGAGAGAGAGATTGGTGGAGCAAAGGGACGGGCGTTGTATGAAAAGGGATAGAGAGGTGCATGTTGGCATGGAGGGATAGATGGTGGATGTGGATGGTGGGCGTGACTATTCGGCCTGGTGTGTGGGACAACGAGGACGTGCGAGGACGCGGCCTCTAATAAGGGATCACCCAGGAAGAACGTCCGCCATTTACTCAGTTTCAGCCAATGCAAGCTCTCATAGCGCCTGGTAGGTAGGCAAAATCTTGCGTGCAGAGCACCCATGTCCTGTGGGTGGCCTACCCTGAGCTCCACAGGCGCCTGGCAGCCGGGCCCCTGCAATCCGGAGAAAAGCGGGCGTACTTTTTGGAAAGACTTTAAGAAGGAGGTTTGGGTTTGAGAAACACACACCAGTGTATTTTTTTTATTTTTTATTTTTTTTATTTTGCTTTCTTATTGTTACATATTTCTAAAGGGCGGGTTAGGCCGGCCGGGCGCGAGAGGCGATGAGAGCGCTATGCACGAACAGTGTGGGATATAGGGTAGGGTGGGCGGCGGGGAGGGAGGGCGTGCTGGATAGAGCCAAGGTGACTCGACGCGGAAAGCGAAGCGGGGGAGAGAGAGAGAGGGGGGGCAAGGGTTGGGGAGGGGGGAGGGGCGTGGGCGGAGCGGGCCCCCATCCCATTAACTTACCGCGCGCGCCCCTGACAAGTCGGAGGCCCCGGCCGGACACACACATCCTCCTCCCGGGGATGAGGGTGCTCCCCCCTCCCCTTGCGGTGGCGGGGTGGGCGGCAGAGGGTGTTCCAGCGGCAGCGGCGCGCCCAGAGGAGAACTGACACGTGACAATAAGCGCCCCGGCCCGGCTTACGGGGCGTCGTCGAGCCCTGCGGCGGTGTCGATTGCCCCGCGCGCGCGCTCCCCCCTGGGGACCACTGGGACGACGACTGACGACACCCCTATTAACTGCGAGGAGGCCGACATGTCCAGTCCCGGACCCAGAGAGAGAGAGAGAGGCCGAGAGAGAGTCAGAGGGAGAGAGAGAGTCAGAGGGAGAGGGAGAGAGAAGAGAGAGAGAGAGAGAGAGAGAGAGAGAGAGAGAGAGAGAGAGAGAGAGAGAGAGAGAGAGAGAGGGGGGGGGGGACTGGCCCACCAGTTCATCAAGCTCAGGATGACATCATTCATTTCCGGGATTTCGCCGGCTGCGGGCGGCAGGCAGAGAGTCCCGGCCGGCCTGGCAGTCTGCTCCGGCGAAGACACAGCCCTGTCCGCGCGCACTCAGCGGCTACGACCCTGTCCTGCCGTCCTGCCGGCAGGGTGGTGGAGGAGGAAGACTGCTAAGGACCTCGTGACGGGGCGGGGCGGGGCGGAGAGGGGCGGAGAGGGCCTACCCTTGGGCGGCGCGCCCGTGCCCTGGCGGGCGGGGCCGCGAGGCGCCGTCAAGGGCCCTCGTCACCGCCCTGGAGGGGGCAGCAGGCCGGAGAGAGGCACCCTCGGCCTGCCGCCACGGCCCCGGCGGCCCTGGTGGTACCTCTTGGCCTGTGTCCTTCTCTCCCCTCCACTCCTCCCCACACCTCGGGACGAGCATGCTGGCTGCTCCCCTCCCCGGAGGCTCCCCGGAGGCCCCGAGAAGGCCCCTACACGACACTGCACTACAATGAATGGTGATGAGTGGAAAGGATATGGGGACGCGAGGAGGGAAGGGAAGGGGCTTGCTCGGTCCTCTCGAAAGGCTTCCTTGGGCTACCCGTGCAGACCTGGCCAGGCCCATACGCACGGGCTATTCAGCTCAGGTCCCTCCCTGGCTCGGTCTCCCTCCCTCCTATCCCTCCCTTCCCTCCCTCCGTCCCCCCATTGCCTCTCCTTTTCGATTGCGACCCGTAGAAGGGGCGAGGTTTGAAGGGATCAGAGAGCGCAGGCAGAGGGGGGGGGGCGTCGAGAGGGGTCGGGAGAGACAATGAGGGTCCGCCCAGTGAAGAGGAACGGGCAAGAAGAACGGGAAACAAACGATTTGGGCCCGCCGCCCTGGCAGTACAGCAGTAACAGTTCGGGATCAGGTGGTCATCTAAAGCTTTGAGCCCGCACGCTACACAGGATAGCGGCGGCCAGCGTTCATCGTGCCGCTCCCAGCCTCTCAGCGCTCTCCCGTTCTCTCTCTCTCTCTCTCACCTGCCTGCCGCCGGCTGCCGGTATTTCGCAATTATCGTCCGAGTCTTCCAGAACTGATGAGCGGAAGCGATGAAATGAGAATGCAGCAGCAGCAGCAGCAGCAGCAGCAGCAGCGGCCGGCTCGACGGTGCGGGGCGAGGCACCCGGGCCCGCTCGCACCGCGCGCACCAATTTGCGCTATTAAAACAGAGTCGGAGAGGGGGGGAGGGGAGAATTTCATTATTGGACATGGCGTTGTAGACCTCTAGCCTCCGCGCGCGCCGGCGACCCCGCCGCCGCCGCCGTGGACCGGAGGAGGGAAGCAGGCCCTGCCGGAGAGCAGCCGGAATACCACGCGCCCCAGAGGAGAGAGAGAGGCCATACCGCACGCCTTCGCCCGCCACCGGCCCGCCAGCCGTGTGACACGGGGGAGAATTTCGGCTCGTCCTACCGCTGCTGCTGCTCCGCAGAGAAAAGAGAGGTAGAGGGGGAGGAGGGAGACACGGTAGAGAGAAAGAGAGAGAGAGCACGTCCCAGCACCATCGTTGCGGTCCACCGCGGCGGGGGCGCGGTCTGCTAGCCCCAGGCGCCCCCTACTCCTACCCTCCCCGGGGCCCCCTTACTCCCGGACCACATCGGGCGGCTGCAGTAACGAGCCCGATGCCGGAAGAACATCTCACTTTTCTGCTCCACAGACCGAAGAGAAAAAGAACACACAGAATGGTTTCTAGGCGGGGTACTCGCCGCGCGCGGGGATGACCGAGTGGATGACCGAATGGGTGACCGAGCGTCCCCTGCCCGGGGCGCTGAGCTGCCGGTCACGCCGCTGTCGCCAGGCTGTCGCAGCGTCCGGCCAGCCATCCCGTTTATTGTTGTGTTTCTCTTGGGGGCCGTCGCCGGGGCCCGGCAACGATGTGGTGCACGGCGTTCTGCCCACGCCCCGCCACGCCACGCCCCGGGACGCTCACCGGCTGGAACGCCACCGGCGTTACCTGTCCTGTACAACATCAATTTAAGACTACGGTGGGCGGGGGCGTTGTGGGGGCTGGGGACGCGACGGGGTAGGGGTGGGGCCTGGGGTTAAAGTGACAGTGGAGGGGTGAGTGTGCGTGTGGGACACAGAGAGAGAGAGAGAGAGAGAGGAGCGTGGGGGTGCAGGGAAAGGGACCGACTTTCTGCCTCCTCTGGATACTCCCAGACAACTGTTCTTTGTGGAAAATCGAATTTTCGTTGAAACGAAGAAAAATTGTGTCCAGCTCATACCAAATTTGTTTAATTTGGCAAAACTCTCGTTTTGTTTTTTTGTTTTTTTAAATTTCCGTCGTTTGAACGAAAAATTTGACTTTGTTTTCTGGCTCGTAACTTTCCGTTATAGTATTTAAAACAAACAACTAGTAAAACAACTAATTCTTTGTTTGCAGGTACATCATCACGGCGCTGTGCGGCGCCCATGTGTGTACGTGCCCGCCCATCGTTGTGGCCATCGTCTTCTGGATCGGCTACTTCAACTCGGCGCTCAACCCGCTCATCTACGCCTACTTCAACCGCGAGTTCCGCGCCGCCTTCAAGAAGACGCTGCAGGCGTGCTGCTGCTGCTGCTCGCGGCGCTGCGCGGCCGGCGCCGCGGCTGCCGTAGGCGCCAAGCTGGGCCTGCGGAGGAAGGGCTGGCCCGACCGGCCGGGGCTGTGCACCGGTAAGGGCTGCCTGTAATGACATTGTGAAAAATAATTTAAAGTGTTTTTTTTGTGGGAAAATTTTCCTTACGATTTCTAACTGTGATTTTACAAAATTCTTTCGACACTATTACGTATCGACTTGATTTTTTCCACGAAGACAATGTCAGTCGTATTTCAATGCATTTGGCTGTGTATTACATATTATTTTCTTGTATTTCCTAGAATTGCTATGTCACTGCTTTTTTTTCGGGATAGCCGAGCCGTATCCACCCCCCCCCC